CTCATGTCTACACAGGGAACGCCGATAATTAGGTCTGGGGTTTTGTTATGTTTTTCTCTGTCTCTGTGCAGGTCTGGAAATTTCCAAAATTAAATACAAAAAGAAACAAATTCCCCTACAGCTGACCCACAAATGCTTGCGCCTGCTAAACAGACCCCCGCCCCATATCCCAGGGCCTGGACAGCTTCAAATGTTGTTAGCCACTGCCTTGGACTGAGTGAAACGGTCTTTTGTACAGAATCAGGTTGAACCATATGTGTTGTGGAATATTCCCTCACACTGTGTGAAGATGTGTCACTGTGGTTGGTTTAATAAAAAGATAAATGGCCAATAGCTTGGTAGAGCGGGAACTTCTGGACAGAGAGAGCTCTGGGAAGAAGACAGAGTCGCCAGGCAGACCGAGAGGAAACAGGAGGTGCAAGATGGAAGAGAGGTAAAAAGCCATGAGGCAAATCAGAGATTAATATAAATATGGGTTAATTTAAGTTACAAGAGCTAGTTAGAAACAAGCCTAAGCTATGGGACAAGCTTTCATAATTCCTAAGTCTCCATGTCATTATTGCAGAGCTGACTGCTCCTACAAAAAAGTGACTACACATACGAAATTAATACTGAACCATTTTTATTGGCTTTATGAAAACAGCCAAAAGACCAGGATTGCCCTCTCCAGCTGTGTTTTTAAGTATTTCTCTGAGCTTCGGAATTAACGCCAAAAAGCCAGGCTTCTCTCACTCAGGCCCGAGCTGGAAGAGCCCACATGAATTCTAAAGATTGGGCTTGGGGAAAAGGAATAATTCACAGGTTATTCGGGAGCTCATGGCTGCTGAGCTGGAGGGAGAGAGAGGGAGGTGGGGGGCATTTCCCAGCACACGTCTTCGTGATACAGACTGTGAGGGACGTCAGGAATTTTACCTTCCAGCCATTACTGGGGAGAAAAACAGCACGCACCTGCAGCTGCTGGCATGTGTGGGGGACAACACATGAGAAACCGCTGGTCAGAAGCCAGGGAGAGGCAGGAGGGCTCGGAGGAATCAACCCCTGGAGGAGTCTAGCCTGGCCTCGCTCCACTCACACCTCAGGATTCACACCTCTACTTAGGGGAAGACCAGATTTGTCGTGAAAAACACCGGAGGAGGGGGAAAAACCAAGTCCAAGGACTTCCGGTTGCTGGGGTACTGCCTCCTGTTTTGGCGCCTTCTTGAGCAGTATTTTAATCTGATTGGTGAAAGTATCTTTGCATAAGCAAATGTTACAACCTGTTGGGCTTACCTCTCTAAGAGCCTTCAGGTACACAGAACACACGCCCCTGGTTGCCATGGGTACTATCTAGGCAGAAGTCATGCACAAATAATCCCTACGCAGGAAATGCCACATTTTGTGGGAGGTCTTCCTGTCTTATTCCAAGTCACAGCTTCACTGGTGGCCAAAATCTCAGACGCTCGCTCCGGAAGAAAGGTATTTATAATCTGAAAAACTCATTCAGGCCAAGCCTGTCCTCACTCTCCAAAGTCTCCCAGCCATACTGTCCCCGCCACGAGGTCTCCTTCTGTGTGATGCGCGCACACTAGGTGGCCACCCTGGGAGGCAGGAACAGAACAGCCTCAAAGAGAGGAAGTTTGCTCTGTCTCGACTTCTTCAGAGAGCAGGAAGAAAACGTCCAGTTACACAAAGGTCTTCGAAGATCGATCGGAATGTTTATCTGAATGATCAGAGACCAGCAGCGGTGGAGGTGGAGCAAGCCGCCCAGAATGCTGGAGGAATTCTCAAGGAACGAAACTGACTGCCCCCGGGAGAGTGCTGTGGCCACCAAGAGCGAGTTTCAGCAGAGGTCAGTGGCTGTGTCAACTGCCTGCTTTGCTCGGTAATGTAACGTGGTAACCACACATCACTCCAGGACCTGAGCTTGACCCACTGCCTCAAATGCCAACATTCTGGACCCAACGAGGTGAAATGCTCCCTTCTTTCTGATGATCGATTCTATCTGAAAAGAAAGCCATAGGTCTATCTACTATTTTTTAAGGCTTGTGTGTGTGTGTGTGTGTGTGTGTGTGTGTGTGTGTGTGTGTGTGTGTGTGGTGCATGTGGTATTTGGTGCTGGGGATGGAATGTGCTAGTCACACACCCACTGGTGAGTTACACTCCCAGCCCTTTAAAGAACTCCGAAAAACTGAATCCAGACATTTCAACTTAGGTCTTAAGCAAGACTGACCATAGACCCCCACTGTCACCTGACCACCTACTTCGAGGACTCCTCGGCTGCTACAGCAATGAGAAAGTCTTTCAAGATTCCAGAACACGTGTTCCCGTACAACCAAACAGAAGAGCGCAGTTCTCAAGAAGGGTGAAGCCACCACGCTCCCCCGTAAGGCTGTGTGGGACTCCTGAGACAAGCCACCGGCCAGCACAGTCCCAGGGCCCAGAGACGCGAGCACAGCCAGATGAGCTCTCCAGTCCCACTCGGATGGCCTGAGGCAGCCTCGGAACCCAGAGACCCTCGGAACCCCACGGGGAGGCTGTCTCTCCCGCAGTGGCCCCATCCTGTCCGCAGCCCTCTGTACTGGTTTGTCCCAGCAAGCCACCATGCTGGGAGAGGCCCCTTGACAACAAGCTACAGGAGATCTCCAAGCTGAGCGGCCTGACCCTGCCTGGCCGGCAGCTCTGCCCAATCAGTCCTACACCATGAGGAAATGGGTCACAATACATTACACACACACACACACACACACACACACACACACGACACTGATAAAAAAAATATTAAATTAAAATTAAAAAAAAAAACAACCCACGACCTATAGTAACATTGAAAATGTTTCAGGCATATTGTGGCACACATCTTTGATCTCAGCTTTTGAGAGGCAGAGACCAGTGGGTCTTTGAGTCCAACCTGGTCTATATATGGAGCTTCAGGCCATCCAGGGCTATATAAGGCCCTCTCTCCAAAAAAGAAGGTCTCCACCCTGGATCGTCATTCCAGGATTTCAGAACCTACAAAAGATGAGCCATGCACTGCCCCGGACCTCATGGTGCACTCATCTACATGGAGAGGAGAAAGCAAGTAATTGTTTAGACCCAACCGTCTGCACAACAAACATTTATTGAGTACCTACTGTATACTACAAATCCTACCTGTGGATGATGAGGAGTCAGACTACATGTAGCTCCTGTCCTTGGTGTGGACGGAGGCATAAACATGTCTGGCCAAGACAGGAAGGCCTCCTGGTGATGTACCAGACATCACCCGCCCTGTGTCTCTTCTCCCAAGAAAGGACGGTGGGGAGCTAGCTGCCTTGGTGATTTTAGCTGTCAAGCTTGGCAGCGATGGTTCCAGACCTGCGCCTGAGGACCAACCCACGACTTCGCCTACGCTTCCGTACAGCATTGCCCAACCCCAGGGTACTGCAGCTCAGGTCCAGGCTGCTCAGGCTGTCAACACGCTCGTGTTAGGTCACGAGGAGGCTGCCCTCCACTAGGCCGCCAGGAAAGCAGAAACACTTGGTACGGTAGGACGTGCGTCCTCAGTTCAGCAGCGTTTGACTACACCAGCGTGCACTGAATGCGAGCGGGGTTGCCCAGGCTCTCTCGGCCCAGCACCCAGAGGCGCCTGCCCGTGCAGGGCACCCTCCCAGCTCCTCACTGGTGAGGTCCTGGCTTTGGCAAGGGACACCTGGCAACTCTGCACCTAGGATCACTCTGCACTTGCAATCGTTCCAGGATTTCAGAACCTACAAAAGATGAGCCATGCACGCCCCCTGTCCTCATGGTGCACAACGAATATTCATTGAGTACCTACTGTATACTACACCTCCCCCGCCCCCCATTCAGGAATGACTACATGAAGGTCCCTGTTCTCAGTGAAGACGGAGGCATAAACATGCCTGGCCAAGACAGGAAGGCCTTATTATAAGGGAATTATTATCAAGGGAATCAATGACAGGAAGACATTATTAATGCGGCTACAGCAGCTTCATCAGCAGGTACCGCTTACAGCCTAATCCTCCCTACAGATCCACACCCCTGGCCCCTTCCTCCTCCCTTCTTAATCCTCCCCGCATGGCGCTGAGGCCCAGCCACTCACATGTCACTCACATGTGACACAGGTCACACTGGCTTTGTCCCCCACAAATGCCTTCTGATTAAGGACTCCTGTGGTCTGCTGAACCTGATTATGTGGGCATTCTCAATAGAGGCAGACAGAATGAAGGCTGTGAATGGCCATAAATGACTGTAAGAATGTGTGAGTGAGGCTCATTGTGTACACGCACACACACACACACACACACTCCTTACTCTGTGTGCCCTCTCCACACTGAAAGCTTTACCCGTCAATGTTTCCAGATGATAACACAGCAAGAAAAAACAATGAAATCTCCACACCCAGTGAATCTGTAATTTAATAGAAAGTAGATAGAGCAGTAGACTTTTTCCCACAACTATTTGTGGTTTAATTAATTAATTAACTAATTAATTAATTATTGGGGGCAGGATCTCTATGTAGCCCTGGCTGTCCTGTAACTCAATATGCGGACCAAGCTGGCCTCCAACTCACAAAAATCCACTTGCTTTTGCCTACTGAGTGTTGGGACTCATGGCATGGGCCGCCACGCACAATTTGAGCAATCGACTTTTAAAGTATAGTTTCAGTAGCACCCTTTTTCTATGCAGAACCCACACTTATTTTTTAGGTGAGCTACTTTTATTTAAAAAGAAAAGCAAGGCAGTCTCTCTAGCCAACTTTGACCCCCCCCCAACATCTCCCCCCCCCCCCAACTCCCGCTCAAAACTCTCAAGTCTGAAAAAGTGTTGGGAATTTTAAATATAGGAAGGGGCTGGTTGCCAGGTTCAGAGGTCAAGTGCTTCTCCAGCACAGGCAAGGCCCTAGGTTCCATGTCCAAATTCACTAAGACAGGATTATAGCTCTCAGTTAGGTGGGGTTGAAATGAACGATACACTTCAGCGCAAAAATGTTCGTGTTCCGGGGTGCCAAGGGCAGGCAGTACCTGGAGTAAGATTCCCGGCCCTTCTCACTGAGGATGGCTGGCGCCTGGATGACAACACGGCACGGCGGAGTCTGTGGCAGCTTCAGGGCCCTGCAAGGTAAAGAAAGGGTGGTCACACACGCAGCTCAGTCTGGGGACCAGAGCCTCCAAACCGGGGCTGTGAGGGCAAGCAAGGTTCCTCTCAGGCCTGCTGCGCTCATCAGGGCACCACAACTGAAGGAGGCCACCCGAGGACAGGTGTCATGGATGACCGTGAGTCACCCTGTGTCCTCTGCAAGAGCATCCAGCGCTTGGAAGCCATCTCTCCAGCCTCATGATTTTTTTTTTAAACGGTATACTGCAACATGCCAACTCAGGAAGGATCTGCATATATCAGTGAAACAGTAACTACAGGAGTCAGAGATCCAGCCAAAGTGTGAACGCCCATGTGTTTTAGTATTTAAAAGGCCCCACGACAGGATTTCAGAGCCCCCCAACGACTGCACACGAAGTTTGGTGTCATATGCAAAAGAAACATAACGCCCCCATCTAAGCAAGGTGACTAATGGCCACTGAGTGTAGATCTCTGAGACGGCGCTTACTTGGCATGCAAAATAGCCCCGGGAGAAGAAAGGAGAAGGCACAGAGGAGGCGAGTCTTAAATAGCCCTTTAGGAGGCTTGCCCCGTCACATTTTTCTGCTATAGTATATAAAACAATTAATGCTAAATCGAAATGAAAGAAAACGCAGGCCATGCAGTAATCCAGGACGAACCTATTAAGATTAGCGGCCTGGAATGCATAGTGAATAAAATTCATTAGGACCGCTTTTCCTAATCCAAGAAATGCTCCAACCAGCTCATTCTGACTTTCCAGACTTGCAAATTCCTTTGTTAAAAGCAGAACAATAAAAATACCACACACCTAATACACGAGGAATTCAGTACCAATTATCTCATAGCAAAGCAGCCAGCGTTCACCACCATCCTCCAAGGCCTCCAGCGGGGAGGAGGCTTGTGAACGCGTGATCACGCACACGAAGCTGTGTTCTAGCAAGAGTGGACACCTGGCCCACCCCGGACAAATATGTACTGCAAGTATTAGCAAGCATATCACCCTGCCCAACTTACAAGTCAAAAGGAGTCAGATCTTCCCAGGTAGTGCAGGCTGGACTCAGTGAACGCATCCGGAGCCTGTAGGCACATGTACTGAGGAACTAGTGACCGCTGGCCATCTGAGGCTGTCAGCATGTTCAGGGTCCATTCCTTTTCTTGTAAAATGCCTTGAGAATTCCATACGAGGTATTTTGATCATATTTACCCCTAACTCTTCTTTACTCCTCCCAGAACCACAACCCTCCTGACCCTCCAACCTTGTGTCTTTTAAATAACCCATCAATTACATTTTGTGCTTCCCATATAGTCCTGGGAGTGGGACCACCCACTCAAACAGCGGTTCTCAACCTACTGATCTCCACCCCTTTTGGGGTTGAAGGACCCTTTCACAGGGGTCACCTAAGTCCATCAGAAAACACAGATATTCACATTACGATTCATAACAGTAGCAAAATTACAGTTATGAAGTAACAACGTAAATAATGTTATGGTTGGGAGGGGGAGGGTCAGCACATCATGAGGAACTGTATTAAAGGGTCGCAGCGTTAAAGGGAAGGTTGAGAACCACTGCTCTAGAGTGTGGCTGGCCCAGGAGGAGCCCTACCCTTAATGAAAAGTGACTGTCCCTGCCCCGAAGCCATCCACTGTCCATAGCTCCTCAGTTAGGAGTGAGGGCGCATGAGACCCTTCCGCCTCCACGCTGGGGTGTGGGCGGCCTTGATCCTGAGCCGACAGCACAGTGGCTCCAAGTTCGTGAGTGCAGCGATCCTGCCTCGTCTCACTCTGGTCCTCACTGACCTTAAAATCTCCCTGCCCGGGGTTGGCCATTCTGAAAAGGTTTGCTGGATCACAGAATCTAGGAGAATCCCCTCCGTCCTTCAGTCCTGAAACATTATGTTATGGTCTCCATCGTAAATGTCCCCCAGAGGCCCGTATGGTGAAGGCTTGGTCCTCAGCCTGCAGGCTACTGGGAGGCAGTGTAACCTTTGAGAGGCGAGGCCTAGGGGGAGGAAGCTGGGCCCCTAAGGGCATATCCTTTCTTCTTTCTTTTGCTGTCCGGCCATGAATGGAGAGTTTTGCTTCTCCTGTGCTTCGGCCTCGGTCAGCTACCTCTCCACAGGCAGGTGTGCCTGGACTGCGGAAGAAAGCTGGCTGAGCAAGCCCGGGAAGCCAGCCAGTAAAATTTACAAAGTCAAAAGGCAGCATGTCAACACAGAATGGCTAGATATAGACCCTAGCCTGGGCCCGTCAACGATTACATTATCCCAGCCCATTCGGCACCAAGACCACTTGGCTCGCAATTTGATGGTTCATCCTTCAAGACACAAAACCCTGGAGTGTGTGTCGGGGTTTTTTTTTTTTTGCCGAACACTGAAGGCCAGTGAAGGAGAGTCTCACCCCTGGGCAAAAATCAAACGATGGCTGAGAATTGGCCAAGTGGGAGTGGGAAGAGTGGACCTTGCCCCCATGGTACATCTGGCAATGTCTAGAGACATCTTCAATTGCCACACTGACGGATAACAGCAAACAGAGGCCAAGAATGTTCCTAAGCAACCTACAATGGACAGGGCGGTTCCAGCAAAGTTATCCTCAATGGCTGGTGGAGAAGCCACGCCTCCTGGTGTGTCCCTGGAGAATGTGAGATGCTATGCATCGAATCAAGTGGGTTGGAGACTGCTCTCCCACTTAAATGCCAGGACCAAGAAGCATAGTAAGATCTGCAAATGAGCACGGAGTCCCAAGCATCCAAAACCCCATCGCTGCATCCTGTGAGAAACTCGTTTGGATGGCCCCAAACTGAGAGATGGAGCAAGCACATAAAAGCAAAGAAAGATGTGGTGTGGACGGAGGTGCCAGCTCAGGAGTGAGTGCGCTGTCCTGTAGACAGAGGGCAGGGTCTGGAGAGAAAAACCTCTGGTGCCCACTCTGCCCTGCAAGCCCTGGCTGGGCACCTGTAGTTCCCATGCCATAGATGAGCAGAGGCTCACAGAAAGTATAAGTGACTCCACTTTGAAGTCCAGACCCCATTGGTCTTGTAGAGCTGGAGAGATGGCTCAGAGGTTAAGAGCACTGGCTGCTCTTGCAGAGGACCTGGGTTCAATTCCCAACACCCACATGGTGACTCACAACCACCTGTATCTCCAGTTTCAGAGATCTTCTGCCCTCTTCTGGTTTCTGCTGGTACTACATCCACATGGTGTCTAAACTCACACACACATCCTTCTTTCTAAAAGTTTTTTAAATCTCTCATCAGGACAAAGTATCTGAGTGTTTCCAAGGCAACCATCTTTACCTGTCAGGGAACAGACAGCTTAGCTGCTTTCCTGGCCAATGAACACAAACTTAACACCTAACAATTAAGAAAATAAAATCTATAAACTCCAAGCGTGAAGGAACCGACTGGCCACCGAAAACAGCAACATTCAGACTCTAAAAGGAAAAGCTGATGAGAACCACAGCCAGTGAGAAAGAGGAAGAGAGAGCCGGGGTACAGCGTGGAGAGGCACGAGGGGACAGACACACTGACACTCCTCTCAGTCACTTCCCTCGCCACACTGGCGTGCTCTCCCACGGCCTCTTAGTTCTGCATCTAGTGCCGCAAGAGTAAAGCCCTCCAAACCGGCGATGGCCCACTGACAATAATCATAGGCTAGCCCATATGTTAAGCCCATACCACGCTCCAGGAATGGACATGGGACACGGACAATGGTTTGGAGAGAACGCTGGTACCAAGCGCTGGTGGCCAGGGAGGCAGAGCAAGCTTAGACACGGCGTTCTCAATCCCAGCGCCTGCCCTCCTCCAGAGCGCAAAGAACTGTTCAAAAAGCAAGGAGCGCCAATGCACGGCTGTAAGCTTGGTACCAGGACACTGCAGCAGGGGCCTCGGGTTCAAGACCAGCCCGTCACACAGGGAGATCCTGTCACAACAGATGATGATTGACTGATTGACAGACAGGCAGAAGCCAGCCTGAGCTACACGGTGAGACTCTGTAACGGTCTAGACTGTTGTCTCACTGATGATAGACAGAGATGGCCTACAAATCCGCTAAATATTTCTTCAACTTAATAAATGCGTTCTTGGGGGACTCCTTGGAATAGATGCATGGGTCCACAACACTTTCTCTGCATCTCATCCTGCCCTTCAGCCCTGGGTGCTCACCCTCAGCATGCGTGGAGATTGCTGCCCAATAGCTGATGAGCTACCCCGATAAATGCAGCGAGGAGAATCGGCTACTTAAAGGGCTCCTCCAGTTGGAGTGAAGAACTGTTTGATGGGTGCATAATCAGCTCTTAATTACACAATTTGTCTTTTAAGATAAAGAATTATCTTATTAATGAGGTGCTCGAGGGGACAGTGGCACCCACCGTGAATTTGGACGTGCAACATGCCTGTCTGCCGGTCAGTGCGGAAGTCGGGGGACAACAAGAGGAAAGCTGCTCACGCTGCTGCTGTTGCGGGTTTTTCTTGGCCTTGCTTTAGGTTCCGGGTGTATGGGTGTTTGCCTATGAGCATGTCTGTGCCCACACAGGCCAGAAGAGGGCGCTGACTCCACGGACCTGGAGTTCCAGGTGCCTGTGAACTGCCATTAGGTGCTGAGAATCAAAGTCCTCTGGAGGAGCGGCCAGTGCTCTTCACCTGAGCCGTCTCTCCAGTCCCAAGAAAGCTACTCTTGTATACACAAACACAATACACACTGCAGGGCGCACACACAAACACAATACACACTGCAGGGCATGCACACACACAATACACACACTGCAGGGCACACACAAACACAATACACACTGCAGGGTGCACACACAAATACAATACACACACTGCAGGGCACGCACACAAACAATACACACACTGCAGGGCACGCACACAAACAATACACACACTGCAGGGCACACACACACACACAATACACACACTGCAGGGCACACACACAAATACAGTACACACACTGCCGATTATAGACAAAATGATCAGAAAAAGGAAAGGAAGCCTGGAAAA